CCCCCCCCCCCCCTCAGTGGGATGGGGGAGAGAATCGGAAAGAAAATAAAAGGTTAGAGCCGAGGGCTGAGATAAAGACAGTTTAATAAGAGAAAATAATAATAATAATAATAATAATAATGAGGATGATAACAGAATATACAGAATATACAAAACGAATGATGCACAATGCAATTGCTCACCACCCGCCGACCGATGCCCAGCCCGTCCCGAGCCGCAAGCAGTCCCCGAGCCGCAAGCAGTCCCCGAGCCGCAAGCGACCGAACGAACGAACTAACCCCCCCCCGAGCATGACGTTATATGGTATGGAATAGCCCTTTGGTCAGTTTGGGTTAGCTGTGCTAGCTGTGCTCCCTCCCAGCTTGTTATGCACCTGGCCGAGCAGGAGAAGCTCAAAAAGTCCTTGAGTAGTCTGAGCACTACTTGGCAACAGCTGAAAACATCAGTGTGTTATCAACATTCTTCTGGTACTAAATCCAAAACACAGCACTATGCTAGCTACTGTGAAGAAAATTAACTCTATCCCAGCTGAAACCAGGACACTTTTATGCAGCAAATATTGGCATAATATGCCCAAACCATCAAACACAAAGGAAAAAAAGAGTATTATTAATCTACTGAAACATGTGGTCAGTGAGACCGTTCATAGGAAAGTAGACAAGGTCACACTGAAGATGATTAGATGTCCTGAATGAAATACAAAGTTTTCTTTAAAAAAGATTCCAAGGATTAAGGACACATAGGGGATTCAGTAGCATCAAGTGATTTTGAGAGAAATGTTGAAAATATGTTTCTCAGTATCTCTGTCAACAGGAAGTCTTCAATATAACGTGCAGGAAAAGAAAATACACATCTGAAGACTTCTTTAGTGCCTAGCAACACACTAAGGAACTCCGACACAATTAAATTTCCCATAATTTCCAATAATTAAAAAAATGAAGAAACTAAGCAAACTAGTTAGCACTGCCTCTATTTGTATGCTAACCAGGTAGCCATGATTCTTCTCAATGAAAGTCAAAGAAAAATCGAACACAAAACTAAATGATCACTGGATATGATACTGAAAATATTCTAATTACTTTTAATGATCCTCATTTGTTGAGAAAAATACATGACAATTTTTAAACAAAACTCTACTAGTGCAGTAGTTATATAACTATTCTAGTTTCAGCTGGGATAGAGTTCATTTTCCTCCTAAGAGCTGGCATAGTCCTGTGCTTTGGATTTGATACTAGAAGAATGTTGGTAACACACTGATGTTTTAGCTGTTGCTGAGCAGTGCTTACACCAGTCAGGGAGTTTTCAGCTTCCCATGCTCTGCCAGGTGCACAAGAAGTTGGGAGGGGGAACAGCCAGGAGAGCTGACCCGAACTGGCCAAAGGGGTATTCCAGACCATAGGATGTCATGCTCACTCAGTATATAAAGCTGGAGGAAGAAGAAGGAAGGGGGGGGGGGGGGGCCCAGAGTGAGGGCGTTTGTCTTCCCAAGTCACCGTTACGTGTGATGGAGCCCTGCTTTCCTGTAGATGGCTGAACACCTGCCTGCCCATGGGAAAGAGGGAATTAATCCCTTGCTTTGCTTTGCTTTCATGTGTGGCTTTTGCTTTACCTATTAAACTGTCTTTATCTCAACCTGTGAGTTTTCTTACTTTTACTCTTCTAATTCTCTCCCTCATCCCACTGGGGGCAGGGAGTGAGCAAGCAGCTGGGTGGGGCCTAGTTGCCAGCTGGGGTTAAGCCACTTGCTTAACTACAGCTAAACAAGTAAGTACGAAAAACTCTCATGGAAAAGTAGGCATAGCAACGTAGATTATGGACTTGACCTACCTATTACTACGGAGTAAACGCACCAATGACTTAGAAACAATGCCAGCTTCAGATTTTGGTGCCAAATGCCAGTAAAGCTGTGCAACTGCCATTACCACCTAAAAGAAGAACATTCAGAACAGCATGTTAACATAAATCACCATAAATATCTACCACATTTGCTTCAGACCTGCAGAACTACCAACTCACTCGTCTTCAGAAAGCAAAGTGCATAGTCACATTTTTTGAAATCAACAAAGTAGATTGGGGGAAAACATCAGAAGATAGATATTTCTAAAATCAAAGCTAATTAAGAATCTCTCATTCCTCCCAGTATTTATTGCATGCCATAGTACGTAGAAAGACAGAGAAAGAGGGACAAAGAAATAATGTAAGTAATTAAAACTGTAAACATGCTGATATAATCCTTAATAAGTCAGTATTGCTAACAACAGCTGTACAAATTAATGAGGAAATACTGTTTAAAACGTCTACAAGTTTTGTTCTTTTCATTATACACAGGTTAATATTGCATATTATTTAGTTTCCACTTAAAATCTTTCATTCCATTGTTCTATTATGCAATTTATAAAGTGATAACTGCCTTTAATGGCAACTTCTGAAGTCTCAAATCCAAAAGACGGTAAAAACTACAGGTTGTATACCAACATCCTGGCTAGCTAAAAGCAGAAGACTGAGATATAATTAACTTAAAATGCATACTTCGTTTGTCTTTTACTTATGAGAAAAGTTGAAAAGAAAAAAGATGAACTGTATGCCAATGAATAAGTCATGTCACAACCTTCCCTACAATACTGTCATAGTCAACTTTCTGTTCAAAACAAAACAAATCATAGAAAGGAGACTCCAAGTAAAGCCATCATTATGACACTCGACTTGGTATCCTAAATATTAGGACCAATAAAACAAAAATTATTATTAAACAACAAAAAGTGATTGAAAACATCTGAAAAGAGGAATAGCTGGAAGATTTTTAGCAATATACTACCAGGATCTCTTATTACTGACAAAAATATAAGGTCAAAGAAAAAGTAATTAATTTAATTGCTGGTAAATTCTGTGAATGGTACAAAAATTGCTATAATAGCAATTCAAAGAAGCATGATTTCAACAAACTGCACTTAAATATCTCAGTTAACTTTCTGATATTAAAGATCATAAATGTGAGAATCAATACCATATTTAACAGATATAAAGAAAATTATTTATGGAATGTGGAAGATAAGCAACTGAACCTGTTCTCAGTGCAGTGTGATGGCAAACACATCTAACATACTTCCTCTTTGCGCAGGATGAGGAGATATTTTATGGACATTCAACAGTGATTTTAGCAAAAGACTGTGCTCTAACACTGTTGTAAAGCTGCATTTAATTTGTTTCCAAAGTCTGCTGGCAGATTATAAATGGTTTTAAAAAGAGGTAGACATTAGTCAGAATCTACAAATATGTTCCAGGGCAGAAACAAAAACCTGATCTGTTTAGCTTATCAAGAACAGGTTGGGAGGTGACATAATCATTGTGCAGTAATTGCTTTTGCAAAGATATGAATATTCATTTTCAGAGGAATTCTCTTCTTGAAGACATCTAGTCTTGATTAACAGGACAAACTGAGGTTAGAAATAAAGTTCTGTGATCTGAATGATGTCACAATAATTCACCATCAGCATGGCTTTTTCCAGTTCTAAAAATTAACCTGCATCTTAAAGTCTCATGGAAATACCGCAGAGCATACTACACTCATGATGTCGTATGTATCCTGGACCCTTGCCAAGGCACCAATATTAAGAATCTGGCTTGGATTGACAAAGAATTCAGTCTACTTTTGTCTACTTTTAAAATGTGAGACTCAAAGGAAGGCACAGCTTAATAAAATGAATCAATAACAACTATGATTTTCTTTGTGAATCTGTACCACCAAAACTGATAGTTTTTGCCATGCTAGTTGCAGAGAACTTAAGCGTTAAAAGCTAGCTATGATATAGTCATCACATGCTACAGAAGTTAGATTCAAATGTTCTTGTATTTTCTCTAATATTTTGTTTGTCCTTAATATTTGGAGCATATATCACACCCAGTTCAGGTGTTTTACTTCGAAGCTGAGTTTATTTAAAAGAAAAAAAAACAAATAAAACCCCACCATACTTCTCCTGTAAGCTACTAGAGAATATTATCACTGGTTTTAAAGAGGTGTAGATTTTACTTTTCAATCTTCTAAAATTTTCTAGAAGCATAGGTATTTAGTAGTTTAACATTTTAAGCAAAAAGGAATTTGTCATACAGCAGCATTTCGGCTTTGAAGCAAGGGCTTTGTATTTCGTAACAGCAGCCTGTGATCTGGGTCCATAGTATAGGTGTTTTTCACGTTCTGATCCTTTTCTTTCTGTTCTTCATCTGATTCATAGAAGTTATTTTCACTATATTCTTCCACCACCTCATCATCCTACCAGAAGACAAAATGACAAAAACATAGACAGAATACTTGAATCAATCAGGTTTATTCATTAAAGAAATAACATATGAACACCACAATTTCATGCAAGATTTATAATTTTTTTAAAAATAGCTATCAGCTCTTCTACCCCAGTTTGCTCAAAGTAAATGTGCCAATACGAAAACAGCTTAACAATACATGCAGAATTTCCTTAGAAGTAGGATGAACTACTAAATGAAGTATCTTCATTAATATTCTATAAACTAGATTAAGTATGAATATTGGTCTTTTTTGGACTTAAAGCCTATGATCCGCGAGAAAAACATTTCTGAAAACTGTCAGTTGCTTAAAATTCCCTCTTTTTAAAAATACTTAATGCAAATCATGTGCATTCTTCCCTCTCTGGCAATATATAAATTATCTGTGAAAATGGCAAATCTCTCAAGAAGGGATAGGTTTTTTTCTGAAGAGATTAGATGGGAAAAAGGTTATGTATCCTGAGCTTGGCCTTCTCTCACAAAATACAAATCCTTGAGCTGTTGAAATAAAGTTATGAATTATCTGCATGTCACTTAAACCCAACACAACACACTGAAAGAATTCATTAAAGTTTGAGAAATTAGTAAATTAGGCCTTTCTTTTACTTCAGAAGGCTAAATAGAAGAATATAAAGGAATATATTGATTATGTAAACATGATAAATTAAAAGAAATCTTAAGATTTCTTACGTGCATCAAAAATGGATGAAGAATAGATTTAAAGTGTTTCATTATGTTTAGATTTAATTAGCATTAAGAAGTTTGCAAACCTAAAGAAAAATAAGACTGAAACCATCAGGATTAGATCAAAACAAGAATATCAGAAGCTGTGGTCTGGATTATCAGTACTGAGAGTATTCAACGTTACAAGTTTTTTTTAAAAAATAAGCTACTGACATCCACCACTTCTTATATCCAAGTGTGTGTCCTTGCTCTCCTAAATTCTTCCATCTAATTTTGTCACCAGAACACCCAACTAAGACAAAGAGCATTACTGTGGCTAGCTGGAGCTATTCACATTACAATGGGCTGGCTGGTACCAAACACCAACCCTACCAATAGCTTGGCTTGTCTTTCTCTCATGTCTCTGTCCAACTATTTTAAGGAATATCCAACTCTACACAATGGTTTTAACAGATTATTTAAGTCATATACCCAATTGTTGATTTTTTAAAAGAAATAATTACTTCTGAGACAAATGTATCTTTTCAAATTCTAGCTGACAGTAGCAAAGTGATCAAAAGTGAACAGAATAGCTAGAAATGAAAATAAAGACTTATTTAGTAAGTCTTCAGAAAACTCGGGAGGGGTAACTTCAAAGCTTTACTGCATGCCTTGGTCAAAACTCGTGTGTAGTGAAAGAGCCCATAAGAGTGTCTTCAGCAAAGGGAGTGGGGTGGGAAGAAGTGACAATAAATCAAAATTGTAATTTTATTCTGTTTTTTATTACAATTTGAAAGAACGCTGAAAGTAAGACTTACCTTCAAATCTCTTCTCGTTTTTATTATTTGATGCCAACAGTGCCCTCAGTTTTCTACAGAATCCCTAACAAGCTCTTAGATTTTCTATGCAACAGCAAGCAAAGTGATTTAGTTTATTTACTTCTCTGTCTATATATCTTTGTCACAGTGATCCTTCTAAATAAAAATTCAGGATGCTAAATCAAGAGTACTGGTAACAGAATTCCTCCCCTTGTCTACAGGACAGGCAACTTGAAAGCAAAATTCCTGATCCCAGTGCATCTCAACCCTGCACTGAAGAAGCTTCCTCTAACAGAAGAAAGATAATTCAATCTTCATTGATTCAATCTTCAGTATCCCTGCCTTGACTGCTAACAGGCACGCACATGAGTACTATTGAACTCAACAGGAATACAGAGCTGAAAACTGTATTTAACTCATTAATCACTGTTGTAAAGAAACAGCTTGAGCTCTCACATTTCTTTTTTTTTTTTAAAAAAAAGAATTCCTTGTTAGAAACATACTTGGAGCAGAGTTCCAAATAGTTATAAAGAAACTTATGCCTCTTATGAAAGTAATTTTAAATGCCATTAGAGTATCTGTATTGAATCACTTTCTTCATATCCCCATAGCAGAAGTATTAATGCGGTCTTTTCTCACAGTCATGTATTTTATTACAATCTTAGAATATGCCTCTTCTCTCAAATCTGTTGAGATGTGGTATGAAGTAATTATGTTCCAGACAAAGGATGATGGTGACACATAGGGAAATACATTTAATGAACTAAAATTCATTAAAATCAAGCTGATGAAGACCAAATTAGGCAGTATTTGTAGTCACAACGACCTTACTAAGACAAAGAGAATATGTACTACTGCAAGATTTGCACAATACCATGGAAAGGAAAGCAAAATATTATGTAAAAGAGCCTGGAGACTGAAAGATAAAAAACGTGTGGGCTTCTTGGTATGCAACAATTTTTCTTTCAAATTCTACTATTAATCATCCCAGACATGGAGAAAAGTTACCAGGAAACGTGAAAACATTCAATCACTTGCAACCCTTAAGACTCAAACTGAACTGCTGACTATACTCACTGCCAAGGAGAGACAACTGTACATTTAGAATCATAGAACCATTTAGGTTGGAAAAGATCTTTAAGATCATCAGTTCCAACCATTTACCTCACACCACCACGAAATCATGTCCCTAAGCACCACACATCCTTTAAATACCTCCAGGAGTGGGGACTCAACCACTTCTTTGGGCAGCCTCTTCTAATGCTTGACAAACCTCTTCCAGTGAAGAAATTTTTCCCAATATCCAATATAAACCCCCCGGTACAACTTGAGGCCATTTCTCTCGTCCTATCACTCGACACCTATCATTGATACACCCTCCTTTCAGGCAGTTGTAGAGGGCAATAAGATCTCTCCTCAGCCTCCTCTTCTCCAAGCTAAACAACCCCAGCTCCCTCAGAACTTCCTCAGAAGACTTGTGCTCCAGACCCCTCACCAGTCTCCTTGCCCTTCTCTGGACATGCTCCAGCACCTCAATGTCCTTCCTGTAGTGAGAGACCCAAAACTGAACACAGTATTTGAGGTGGGGCCTCACCAGTGCCGAGTACAGGGGCATGATCACTTCCCTGCTCCTGCTGGCCACACTATTCCTGATACAAGCCAGGACGCTGTTGAGCCCATCTTCCCCATGCCTGTAGCATTGTATGGAGTTGTTATGATGCAAGTGCAGGGCCCGACACTCAGCCTTGTTGAATCTCCTATAACTGGCCTAAGCCCATCGGTCCAGCCTGTCTGGATCCCTCTCGTCCTGGTTTCAGCTGGGATAGCATTAATTTTCTTCCTAGTAGCTGTTACAGTGCTGTCTTTTGGATTTAGTATGAGAAGAATGTTGATAACACACTGGTGTTTTCAGTCGTTGCTAAGTAGTGCTTAGATTGGCCAAGGGCTTCTCAGCTCCGCCAGGTACACAAGAAGCTGGGAGGGGACACAGCCAGAACAGCTGACCCCAATTGACAAAAAGGGTATTCCATACCATAAGACATCATGCTCAGTATAGTGCTGTCTTTTGGATTTAGTATGAGAAGAATGTTGATAACACACTGGTGTTTTCAGTCGTTGCTAAGTAGTGCTTAGATTGGCCAAGGGCTTCTCAGCTCCGCCAGGTACACAAGAAGCTGGGAGGGGACACAGCCAGAACAGCTGACCCCAATTGACAAAAAGGGTATTCCATACCATAAGACATCATGCTCAGTATATAAGCTGGGGGAAGAAGAAGGAAGGGGGTTTGGAGTGATGGCATTTGTCTTCCCAATTAACTGTTATGCGTGATGGAGCCCTGCTTTCCTGGAGATGGCTGAACACCTGCCTGCCCATGGGAATGAGGGAATTAATCCCTTGCTTTGCTTGTGTGCATGGCTTTTGCTTTACCTATTAAATTGTCTTTGTCTCAACCCACGAGTCTTCTCACCTTTACTCTTCTGATTCTCTCCCCTGTCCCATTGTGGGGGGAGTGAGTGAGCAGCTGCATGGTGCTTAGCGGCCAGCCGGGTTAAACTACGACACCTCATTAGAGCCTTCCTACTCTCTAGCAGATCAACACTCCTGCCCAACTTGGTGTCTACAAACTTACAGAGGGTGCACTCGATCTCCTTGTCCAGATCGTCAATAAAGCTATTAAACAGAACTGGCCCCAATACTGAGCCCTGGGGAACAGCACTTGTGACCAGCCACCAACTGGATTTAACTCCATTCACCACAACTCTTGAGGCCCAGCCGTCCAGCCAGCTTTTTACCCAGCAAAGAGTACATCCATTCAAGCCACAAGCAGCCAGCTTCTCCAGGAGAATGTTGTGGGAAATGGTGTCAAAGGCTTTACTAAAGTCCAGGTAGACAGCATCCACAGCCTTTTCCTCATCCATTAAGTGGGTCACCTGGTCATAGAATGAGATCAGGGTAGTCAAGCAGGACCTGCCTTTCATAAACCCATGGTGACTGGGCCTGATCACCTGCTTGTCCTGTATGTGCTGTGTGATGGCACTCAAGATGAGCTGGTCTATAACCTTGTCCAGCACCAAGGACAGACTGACAGGCCTGTAGTTCCCTGGATCCTCCTTCTGGCCCTTCTTGTAGATGGGTGTCACACTGGCTAACCTTCAGTGAACTGGGACCTTCCCATCAAAGTGGCTTGGTGAGCGCTTCCACCGGCTCTCTCAGTACCTTTGGATGGATCCCATCCAGTCCCATAGACTTGTGCATGTCTAAGTGGGTTAGCAACCTGCTACACATTTCCCCTTGGATTATGGGGGCTTCATTCTCCTCCCTGCCCCTGTCTTCCAGCTCAGGGGGCTGGGTACCCAGAGAACAACTGTTTTGACTACTAAAGAATGAGGCATTAAGTACCTCAGCCTTTTCCTCATCCTTTGTCACTATGTTTCCCCCTGCATCAAATAAAGGATGGAGCTTCTCCTTAGCTCTACTTTTGTTGCTGAAG